TTTAAAAAATTACACCTGCCACAAATGATTACCACCTAATAATCTATTCATTAATTTTTGAGTTTGGTAATCACGAACAGGTTGATATGGCAGGGACTTTTTACCCAAGTACCACGAAGGATCATGTTTTATGTTGTGCAAAGCTAAGTACTACTTATAGAATACATGTGTGATAAGAACATTTAGATAATATTGGGTAGTTCTCCGCACTATTAGTTTCAGAACATAATGTATTGTTATCTTAATGCATACTTAACGTGACCACATGTCCCGTTGTGAACGGGACTGTCCCTTTTATTATATACTAGCTTTTACCCGCGGCTTCGCTCGCTTCACAAAAGGATAAAAAGTAGCGTATGTGACTATCGATCCCTTCAACTACCTTCAGTTAAAAAATCACGTTAATTAGTAAGTACCTCCGTTCTGCCGTTTAAGAAACAAAACAAACAAATAGCTTTCCGCTCGCGTGGAATTCGGTTATATCGCGCTATTTACATTTTTCCAATAAGTAAATAATAGTAAATGACATACAGCGCCATCTATACCAATATTTTTGTTTTCCCTCGGAAATATCAAATTTTTCCGGGATAAAAAGTACCCTATTATTTAATCCAGACTTCTAACTTTACATCTGTAAAATTTCAGAGCAATCGGTTTAGTAGTTACGGCGTGAACGCGGAACAAACAAACAAACAAACGCACTTTCCGATTTATAATATAAGTAAGGAAAGTAAGGAAGTAAGGATTTTACCCCTTGTCCATTTGTCCCCAAAATGAACTCTGGGACGCAAAATTGTCGCGTTTTCGATAACCACAGAATTTTAATAGGTAGTCAAACCTATGCGACGACCGTTCGGACGGCTCGAGTGGTGTGCTAGAGCGATACAGCGTCATACGTACTAATCGTAATTTTTGACGAAGTACCATCGAACAAACTTTAAGTAATTACGTACATTTTTGTGCAGTTAGTAATGTTAACCTTTTTGTTGTGGGCACAAAGTTTGTGTTTACAGGTTGTATAATAGTAGAATACAGCTATCAGATGCTTGACTGAATCTAAACAAATGAGTGTCCCGTTTAAACTCAAAAAATTAATGGTCACGTTATGCATACTTCATGTAATAGAACCGAAGAGTTTGTTTGCACTGGCTAATCTATGAGCTAAAAGTGGTTAATCTGATAAAAAATCTTCTCAACATGGTTGTCATTCCCCAAAGGGTTAAGCAGAGATGCACTTATTACCTTAAAGTAATAGGTAATCACATTTCATCAATTATGTTATGTATGACTTATGAGTCTCATGTCCCTCTTAGGGAAAAGAGAATTCTAATAATATTATGGTAGGCACAAACGTGGACATCATACTGCAGTTGGAATAAAAAGGAATGCAAAAAACCAAATATCTGTTGCCTGTGAATCTAACGGGTCACTGGGGCTCTGGCTCGATGTACAGGAGAAGGAACGGGGTGGGTTTTAATCAGTAAGAGTCTGACACTCCCTCCCGCCTCACCCAAGCGGGAGCAGTCATTCGATGATTTTCCCCAATTAAAAAAAAATTAAAAAATAATATCTATGGCCTAAGCTGGGTATTCAAGAATCCTTGCCAATTTACCAAGCACTTGTGGCCACTTGACCAACTAAGCTATATTTTTATCTGGTGCTTGAGGAAAGTTATACTCCATGTGACATCACTCCATGACATGAAGGAAAGGAATGCAGATCAAAGTATAATACAAAGTAATTTTTAAAGAAACCAACTACAAATACATGACATCATGTTTAAAAGGTGACTGCCTCTTTGGCCGAGTGGTCGCAAGTGCGACTGCCGACAAGGGGTCTCGGGTTCGATTCCCGGGTCGGGCAAAGTATTACTGGGTTTTAAGAAAATTCTCAGTAGTATAGCACGGAGTCTAGAATTGTGCCCGGTATATGGCAATAGGCTCACCCCCGTATTACATGGGACTCATAACATAAATAGTGAAAAGTGGGTGTTACACTGTACAGTGGCATAATGTGCACTTCTGCCTACCCCTTCGGGAATAAAAGGCGTGATGTTATGTTATGTTTTAAAGGTACAGTTATATGAAATAGAGAGTGAAACTAAATTACCTGATGCAGTGTTTCCCAAAATTGTCTGGACTAGACCCTCTATCTAAACAAAATTACCAAACTCGGGACCCACTTTTAGGAAAATATTCATAACATAACATCACGCCTTTTAACCCCGAAGGAGTTGGAGAAGGAGTGATACAAACTACGGCACTTGATGCTACTGTATAATGTAACACCCACTTTTCACTATTTATGTTATGAGTCCCATGTAATGGGGGGTGAGCCTATTGCCTTATACCGGGCACAATTCCAGACTCCATGTAACTAGATTTTAAAAAACCCAGAAGTACTTTGCCCAGCCTGTGAATTGAACCCGAAACCCCTTGCCTGGTAGTCGCACTTGCGACCACTCAGCCAATGAGACAGTAAATTTAGGAAATTAAAATGTTACCAATATGATAAGTAAATTACAGAATGGTTGCTTACTGTGTACCAAGGCCCACTAAAAGTTCGCTCACAACACACCAGTGCGTAGCAACCTATAGTTTGGCAAACCCTGACCTTATGTGCAATAAAAACTAAATTGTAGATGAAAATTCGTATTGTAATGATTCAGAAAGTGGTTTTTGAATTTTAAACAAATTAAAAGTTAATGACCACTACGAGACTAATATATGCTATACAATTTTATTGTTTTATTATCATAAATCTAGAGTAACTACCGGATAATTGTATAAGCTTTATGTATTTACTTGATTGGCAACCGAGTTTCCAATTCCTTGTTATCAACAATTCGTTTTACCAGTTTCATTTGCATATAGGTTCTTATATAACTAATAAATGAATTTATTCTTGATAGTAAGAGGAAAACCACAGCCTAAGTCATGATGACTTGTTCACCATAAGTATGAATGAAACGGATAATAAACAAACTTGTATTGTAGGCATCAAGTCAATGGATTAATATGTTATTCGTGGGACTTACAATTTGTTTCCTTAATAGGCAAATAAAAAAAAACATTAAAAAAAATTATTACCAGAATAAAATCCCTGGCTTAGGAAAGTCTGGATAGCTCTTGATTTTGCTCTTTAATTCTTGTAGTTTCTTCTCGTAGTCAGCGTCCATGATTTATAGGTTTAACTTCTTTTTTACTGAAATGTAATAATAAAATATTAGTAAAAAGTTGTAAACAGAAACAAAGTGTGATGTTAGTAGTTTCTAGCACAATTTTATTACTTACATTGTAATTGAAAATGTTCTATGATTGCCAAATAAGTACTTATTCAAAGTTTGAAGAGGGCAGAGGTCAGAGTAATAAACAGCAGTCCCGTTTCAATCTCGGATATCAATTTTATCATCAGTCGGTAGGTATTCGGTACCTGTCAAAGATTTTGAGGTTATGATTACCAAATCAATATTGCCAAGTTATTTAGAAAAAAGTCCCCACCATGACCAACTAAATTAAACTAGGTACGAATGAGATAATTAAGATCTCTATATTGATATCTAAAAAAACTAAATCTGTCAAAAATGAATATAATAATGTGAACACATCATCTGAAGTTCTGACTGCCTCATATAAAAATTTTTAACTAGCCAGCAGAACAAAATATAATACAAGTGAATCAGAGAGTAAAGCAATATAGGGTAATGCCTATTTTCAATTTATTTGTCATTACGTATTAGATTATTACACTTTTTTTTTTAAGGGGGGAAAATCATCGATTGACTGCTCCCGCCTGGGTGAGGCGGAAGGGAGTGTCAGACTCTTACTGACTAAAAACCACCCCGTTCCTTCTCCTGCACGTCGAGCCGGAGCCCCGGTTACCCGTTAGGTTCTCCGCGACTCCGAATCAGCATCGGCCCTATTGGGCCCCATCTGTGGTGGTCTGATGGCTCTTTGAGGCGCGCGCGGAACGCGACGCGCCGTACGCTCGGGTCTGTTTCTGGTCGGACGGGGAGCCACCCATGCTCGCCGTCCGCAGGCCCGCGCTTACGGTGGCCGGAGATCGTCCCGCGATCCCCGACGCCCGGTGTGTCCTTCGCGATGGCTGGGTTGCGAGGAGGCAGCGCTTCGCTGCCTCACGCGTCCCGCCTCCTCCTTAGCTAGCATGACTGCTTCGCAAAAGGAGGAGACGGCATCCCAGTCCCCCTCGCTCCGCATCATGGCCTGCACTAGGCCCGGACGCGAGAGGTCGCTATCGCCGATCACTTCCCTGAGGGCACGGCGGTGCTCAGCCCACGCAGGGCATTCTCCCACTGTGTGTTCCACCGTGTCCTCAGGGAGATTATTACACTAAGGTGAAGATATTTGCTCAGTCTTCTAAAGAACTTCTCTGCAATTATATTACAGTGGTAATGTATGACAGTCGCTTCGCTAGTCGATAGGAAATGTATACCTACCACAATAATTTGTTTATTAGTGACGGTCAGTCCGGTTACTCATGATTAATTTTATTTAAAAAACAATACTTGTATTTTGGGAATTTTTATACGCTGGCAACTTGAATTTACTGTCAAGTGTCAAAACAATGTTGCTGAAAGGTGTATAAAAAATATGTACCTACGTTAATTAAATTTTATACAAATAATTCATTTATAATAAATACCTCATAATAATTTTTCAATGGTTAAGGCATTTATTCACTACTTTTTTTCTGCTGGTACTATTATCAAATCAATATCATGCAAAACGCAAACGAAACGTAATGTCAATGTCAAGTCAAATTCAATTTCAATTTTGAATTTTCAAACCGAAACGATTAATTTGTTATGATGAATTTACTTGTAAAACAACTGTAAAAAAATATAAATAAGCTTATTTATAAAGTTAAAAAAAAAAACTAAATCTAAAATTGTTATACGAGTGTTTGCATTCGAGTCCAATACCGTAACTACTGAGTTTCCCGCGGAAAGTAAACTTTCGCCGTACGTTCACAATAGCACAATGCTATCTTCATCTAATGTAGAAAGGCTAATTGCAGAGAAAAGGCGTGAGATAGAGAGGGAGAAAACTGTGCTGGGATTGTGGCCGGCGGAACACGATGTAAGTTGCATAGATTACTTGTTTACTAACACTACCACCTGTGGCTGCTGCCCTGGTACCGCACGATCGCGATATTGATTTTCTTCTACGCTCAGCTCAGTTGATAACTAACACTGTATTGATTCTGTACGCTGTCCAAGTGCCAGACAGCTGACACAACTGCTAAACAAAGATTTCTCGTAGATATTGTTCAAGTTAAATTATCAGTGTAGAATGTACTAAAGAAAGTGAGTTTTTTGACGTAATTTTACTGCATTGAACTAATTTCGCTGTTGGAAGTCGCAAAGTAAAGAGGTTTGTGTTTATTTATTATCTGTTCTTTGTAAAAGTTTATTTATTTACACTCTTGTCATGTTTTGTTTCTACTTTTTATTACTTTTGTGTAATTTGTTAGAGTATTGTATGAATTAGGTAGCCCTGTTAATTTATGTTTTGTCTATTTTTTCTGTTACAATGACTGAAAAACTTAAACTTTGTTATTGTAGGTTGTGATATATTATTTTAAAGCAAATGAAGAGATTCACGGATTTTATACTCTCAGAAATTATGCAAAATAATAGTTACTTACATAATGCCAATGCGCTATTAAAACCTAAAGCTGCTTACAGACTACTCATTTATCTTTAAAAATTATTGTTGTTGTTAAGCTGTTTCTATTATTGTAATTTATAATGATAAATACAATAGTATTATCAAATAAATATTAGAGGCAAGCTAAATTTTACATTAAACACAAAAATTTCAAATCTTTACATCACTATTAACTCGTTGAGTACCGGTTTTATAGACACAATTAAAGAACAATAGGTCGCGGTCACCGGTGACCGCTTGGTGTTTGACAGATTAAACAGTGAACTATTTTTACAAAAATAAAAAATTATCCTAGTATTATCTATGTATGTAACAGTAATAGAGTCAACAACAGCTGCAGTAATTTATGAGCTGCCAGCAACATCATAACTTTTTCATTGCACATCAAATACCAAGGAGTATTGATTAGACATCGGGCCAGTTCAATGATCTATGAAACTATGCTCTTTGCCTACACAGCACATTACTCATTGAGGTCAGGCCTATAGAAACATAAGTGGTCCACTTACTCTAGTATTCCTTTGATTTGTTTCAAGTAGATTATGTAAGGAAAAAATGTATGTAATGAGAAATAGTTTGGTTTTGAAATTGAATTAACTTATGATATAATTGTTTGTAAGTAATACTAATGGCATTAATAATATTGTTTCTAGAATATCTGTAAGAGATTAGTAAATACATATTATGAAAACCTAGTCAGTTTTGATTTAACAGGAAAAACATAATTACTATAATAATATTTTCCATCTACCTTCAAACAAAAATCTGTAGATGTTCTGAAGACATATGAACTAAGAACTAAGAACATGTTTCCAGCTCCAAAGAAATGTCAAAGAAGATGCAGTATCAACAGTCAATGGCAAGAAACAAGTGAACTTTGAAGAAGACAAGGTCCTGCGTCATAGCCATGACTCCTCAAAGGATGAGGAAGAAAGTGTACTATCAGAGACAACACATGAAGAACTTGATGACAGCATACCACCAGCATTAGAGAGATATATCAGGGTAAGTGCCTTTTGTATTACATTCTATATATCTCAGTCCCAAAATATCTGGAAGAGGAATTATAACAAATTCTGTTAGATTTAAGAAATGTGACGCTCGCCCGAAAATTTTCGCACAAGTTGCTTATGATTATGGACCCCGAACGTAGCTTGAAAGTAGTCAAGGAACCTTGTCGAGCATTTAAAATTACTACTATATTAATATCGATATCTGACCTTTAGGTCTTAACACATTGAAAATCACATTTCTCGAATTATAAATATTCGAGACAATCCAGTAAAACATGATCCAATGTGTTTTTACTTAAGTTGAACACTCGCGTGCAAATACCTAATAAGGAAGGATATCCTGGCGATTAAAACTTGGGCTGCAAAGGAAAGGCGAAGGCCTCATCATTATTAGACGATTTACTAGAATTTTGTTTCGATTCTTTGTACCGCCGCTATTGTGATTGCTTCGAAACTAGTTGTAAATAAATAAGTGGCACTCGTTCGGATAATGAGTCCGTGCCTCGACCACATTAAGCCATCGGTCATGGTTTTCATACTAACATCTATACTTGAACTAAACCATGTTGAACCAATCGAGGGTTATGGAAGACTACCAGCAGAACTATGGACTCTAAAACTTAAAGCCAGAAGAAAGATTTAAATATGTAATGATACAGTAAGCGCCAGCGCCAACTGCTCTAAAGACACGTTAGGTTTTACGAGGAGCAAGAAAGTTGCATTGCTCAAATCTGATAGTTGATAGTTTATGCTAGGAAGATCCTCTTCCAGGTGACTTGTAAACAACGGATAACCAATAACTCCTGACAAGGTCGTACTTGACGACTTTCGGAAGCTGACGCGAACTTTTCAGCGGATCTTATATCATTAACCTCTTTTGTAATGCTGCGGAAATCAGATGCCAATCTTTTAAACCAATATCTGTTATTAGCATTATAATAATTGAACTATAATAAAAATCTAAATTATAACTATGTTTAAAGTTACGGTGGTGACAATGTTATCAAAGTAAGCTTAAAAGTAACGAATGACACTGGTGTTTCTGGTTTCATCCTGACTTTTGATGTAGACTACGGAGAAAAGGACAAAAAAGATATTATCACATGCAAGACATAATAGTTATAGTAAGATAAAAATATGTCTTTAAAAGCCTATATGACAAATCATTCGCGATCCCTGAACGACTAAAGTTCCGATTACTTGTCATGAACAACTGATAGAAGTCTACTGGACAATAAAGGGAATATTTCGGACAACTAATAATCAACCTGGTACAAATATTGCCCCGAGTTCTTATTGTATTACGTGCACGAAATTACACGAAGTGGCCAATAGATACGCAATGCATAATTAGTTACGAATGAGAAATTCTAATTACCATTTTAATAGTCGGTGTCGACGTTTAACTTGTAAACAGTTTGTTTTGCCTAATTGGTGGCATTCCGCGGGTTATTGTGAATGCAATTTTATTTGTAGCTGGTAAATATTTCGCTTTAATTATCCTCGTTGTTCTGACTATGCGACATACTTAACATAGTGTATGTATGATCATGTTTATTAAATTTCCTGTAAGAATATGTGGAATTGTAGCTACGAGCTACTTATTTGTAAAGACTTACGAATGTGCGTTTGTTTGTCTTCCTTCCACGTTGCAATGGAGCATTTCTAATTCTATGGAATGGTTTTTGTGCAAAAATTCAGAATATATTTCAATTATACCTAATTATTAATTTACACCTAGTTAAAAGAGATGGAGGCTGGAGTGTGACATTGGCCACATACCTTTGACCACGCAGGCAAAGTCGCAAGAAGAAACTTAGTTGCTAGTATTAAAGTAATCGACTTACCAAACACGAGTTGCTTCTTAACATTAAACCTATTCTGAACTTGATGAACAACCCAAAGAAAAGCCCCACTACAATTATTTTATTGATTTCAAGCGCCAGCATCAGCATCGTTCAGCGAAATATTTAAGAACGCGATTGTCCAAAGAGGTGTATTGCACTACAGAATTTTCACAAAACCATTAAGAAGTAGTGCAACAATTGAATCCGATTCCAATCTTAATACTTAGATACTCAAAGTTCAATATCACAAATGGTATATTTTAATGAGACAGTTATTAATCGCCCATTGTTTAATGTAATTGAAGTCGTCATGGTCTCACTGGCGTTGCCTCTATTAATAGAATTAAGTGAAGATGGTATTAGTTTTATGAAAGTTCAGACTAACTATTGAAGGGCTGTCACTTAGCTTTGTCGTTTAATGAATTATATATCTGTTTACAAGCTAAATAAAGTCTATAGTTCGGTGCGTAGGATGTCGGTTGCCGTCGAAACAGGGTCCTTAGACAAAGTAACATCGCTTAATAGCGAAACGAAAAGTAAATTCGCCATCGTCTCTGAGATAACGATAAACATTTCCTAGCCAATGTAACACTATGGTCGTGATCGTTGTGTCGAATTCTTTATTCGGCAAAAAACAAAAATATTGGTTATGGTATCGAAAATCCAGCTGTCAGTGACAGTCAAAAAGTTCAAATCGGATCAAACTCGCGAGTTATTGATGTTTTAAAACTTTATTAATAAGAAAGTGAGTGTTGCGTTTAATTGTTTTTAAGTTAAATATAAACGATAATTTTACAGTCGTAAGTGAATATACTTTTAGATCGTTTCCAAAACTTAATGATAATCAAAATAGACTCATTTTATAAGTGACTGGTGTTCAAACGATGATGGATCTCTCTCTATTTCTTATCTATTTTAATATTTAATGATAAAACATGGAATCAAGAGTGCGAGCAAGTCCTGAACAATTCGCAACGCTGTTCGAGTATATGGAAACGTAAGTAAATCTAAGTTTCATTCATGAGTATGTAATGTAAACAATGACGCGATCTTAACAATGAAGTACCTATATTGAACCGTCGCTGTCTTAACCATTTTTGGCGTCTCTCTCAGTCGGTTTCATTGTGTGCAGCCCACAATAAACGCAGAGAATGCATTTTTAAATCTATTTGATCTGTATTAGTGTATTGCCTCTAACACAAAATAAATAATAACAGGATCAATAATGAAATTCGGCCATATTGTTTCAATAACTACAACCTTTTAGCATTCGTTTCGTTATCGTTTTTGGCGATCACGATCGAGGCGTTGGCGAACACTGAAAGGTCTGCTTGTCTACGCATTTATATGGAATAAACACGATGACGATTCGTTACTTTATAGTTTCGTTATGAAATATAACATTGTCTACCAAATTGCGATAACGATGCCGATTGACCACGTGACTTAACGCGGCCTATGTCAATCCCATACATTTTAGTCTTAACTAACTTCGTTATCGTTTTTAAATTGTTACTTTGTCTAAGCCCCCAGGAATGACTTCACATGTATGTTTAGCTGTGGCTCATCTCCATCAGTATTATCAATAGCCAATGACAGTCGACTGTTGGACTATAGGCCCCCTTTTCAAAAAAGAAGGTTTGCCACATAATCTTTATAATAGGTTAGTTTCCTAAATTTTATTTTAATGTCCGTCTAGTACATTATTTTAAAACTTTAGACACATTTTAAATAAATACTTTCGACGATATATTAAATTGTAATGTCGTGTGACGTCACAGCGTGGCACATTTTGTAGCACATTATGACGTAACGACCTCCCACTCCTAAACTTAGCGCCATTTTATCTAAGTATTGCAACTTAATACGAGAAAATAAAACAAATACGTGTCTAATATTTTTTCATTATCTAACTGACGGACTAATTGTATTTTTAATTTTGTTACCCTGGAAACTACCCAATTGGCAGGCGGGTTAGAGGTCGCAGTTCAAAAGGAAGACTGCCGCGCCGCTGCCCGGTCTTTGTTAAAGGCATGCGTAGTCCCTTAGTCTACTCTTACGGCAACTTCGGGAAGAGTAGGGATGCTGACAAATGTATTGTCATACGGCTAAGGATTTATAATATGATGAGGTTCATTAAAAATTCGACTCCAAGACTAAACATTTTGAATTCATATTCGCGTGACCTTCTTCACAAATCAACGCACACTCATTCCTTGACTCAACGTGACTGTCGTGTGTGAACAACTGTGACGTGTGTGCTGTATGTACACTGTACATACAGCACACATCGAGCTATACAAAACCAGTTTGTATGATCATCACTTTGTATGATCTTCCTGCATGTTCGACGGTCAGTTTATACTGGTTTTGCATAGCTTTATTTGTAGCCTGACAGTGATGATCTAACTAAAGTGCAGTGTTTAATATGAATGACAGTGCCAGGGCCAATGCCATATCAACTAAGGAGCACTAAACTAGATAAATGTGACGCCCAGTGTAGGCGACACATCGTTAAGGATAGCCTCTAAAATAAACATCGCTCTGATTTAATGAATAGTACCAATCAAACTGCGCTTTATTTATGTTTTTTGTAATTTTTATTGCTTCGCCTACATTACGGTTTTCTTATGTGGTTGCACGTTTGCAAACATATTGTCTAATGATCAATCAAATATTTGTTCTATGCGGAAATCGTAGCTTTACTAGTGCTATAGTCCATCGCTCTACCATCCGCCAACCCTTTCCTCGATAGTGTTACTAGAATTGGCCAATGAAGTAGTTTAATATTTTCAATAGCAGCGTAGAACAATGAAAATTAATGAATATGAAATAAATTCAGTATTCCATGTTCTTGTACATACTACTTTCGGTATATCGGTGCTACGCTCGTAAATTACGGATCCCTATGACTTCGAAATGAGTCGGACAAGGTCGAAAGAATAACCTAAAGAAAAGCAAAGACTTTTCATAGAAATTACTTGATTACATCCAAGGCTTCAACCGAATGCTTTCCATTCAAACATTACCACATCACTTACGTAAATAACCCGCATTAGTGAATAAGTAATGTTATTATTAGACATAATGATCGATAGTTATATCTATTTGACTGTGAGCTGTCGGACAAAAGGTAAATGTACAC